CTCATGGAACATGATTATATAGTTTACTCCTTTCCCTTGAACTACATGGTTCGGCATCAGAAACAATGGTGTAAAATAGTGGTTCTCAATCGCCGGTCCGCGCCAACCTTGCTGCCGGTCCGCCAAATATATTCCAATATTAGTAAATTATAAGCAAATCGCAAAATACAAATTATTGAGGACATGTCCATTAATTTTTTGATTTTTTCACTCTTATTGATTGGTAGTACCGGTATTCGTTTAACAACCAAACTTGGTGAAAGTTACTCTGCCTATTTTAAACCCCGGACTGCTGGATGTTCGTTATGTTAATGACCTCACAACGGCGGCTAACGTCATCTCATAACGGATGAGTTTGATAGCACATAGTACGGTGCCTGATTGAGAACTTAAGTTAACACAGAAGAGTTATTTGCTGTCATAAGGTAACACCTAAAAGATCTACGCATCGGTTTTGGAAAATACCATAAAATGCGTATCCTCGTCAGGGAAACTTTTGGATTGTAGATTATTTTGCAAAGGTTATCAATTCGTGTAATCTTAACACTGCTGAGAAAGAATCAATGTTTGAGCAAATAGAAAACTTATAGGATGTCCATAAAGTCGAGGCGCAGTTTTTACCACTTCATGACTGCTCCTGTCACGAATGAACCGCGGCATTTCTTGCCATGGTTTTATGGCTCTATTACCGTTATAGTTCACAAAGTCATGTACCAGATTTTAGTTTATCATGCGGAATTATATCTACTCAAACCTGAAATCGAACACCAAATTCATCAAAACTATATCCATAGGGAAAATGTTCTAACTTACCCCAAGTTTGTCACATCAGGGGCAGCCCTGCATGCCATTACGGCCAACATGACTAGGTTTGTGGCAACAAAAAATCACCCGCCATAGGTTTTCAATTTGCTGTCGTGGTACCCGCCCCTCGTCATTGGTTTGTAGCCAGTTAAAAGTCAGTCGCCGTGGTTTGGCCATAGCGGCCATGGTTTGGAAATCCCGACATGGTTTTGAGGAAGCTTCAGACGACCCAAATACCTAAAACTGCACTTGATAAAGTCACTTCACACTTTCAATTTTGTAATGAAGTCAATTCTCAATATATCTCAACCAGGTTTGTTATTTTTTCAATCAATATTTTAATTTCATTTAATATATCTGTAAGGGAGGCAAAACAATATATGGTGTCGATAAATTCTCTTTGCAATTTACAAAAAATGGATAAATCAGCATAAGCTTGCTTCAGACCAGTGTTCTCAAATAAATCAACACAATCAAATGAAACAATGAAAATGCATCAGCATTATACATGCCTTTAATATCATGCACTTGGGTCTGGTCTTCATTACCATGTACATCATATGACTGCTAAGATATTCTTTTGATTGAGCACTTTTCATCAAACACATTCTTTGAAATAGTTCATTTTGTGGAAAAAATGCATTTCTTGACAACTGCTGTACAAGAATTATGAGATTTAGCATTTAGCAGAGATAGAATTTGACACACTCTGGAAATGGCTAGCAGGGTCAATAAATTTGTCATTATTTGCACGAAATGTTTTATTGTTCAATCCGAACTCGTTAGGTCTAGATCTCGGACTAGAGCGCATGTATCTTTTATGATGAGACACAGAATCAACTTCTTTCATTGTAGTTACCGATAGAGATTTCATTACTTATCGATCTTGATCGGTAAGTATGTTGATAGGTGTTTGTCTGTCTGTCTGTCTGTCTGTTAGACACTTTCGTATGTTACGCGATATCTCACGAAAGCGAGGTTGAATATGCTCAAAATTTTGCATGTGCATTAATCATATCTCGGACCAGAAGTCTATTTCGATGAATTATGTCATATAATTAGTGAGGTAATAATTGATTAGTGGTGGGACACGCGGTTTCGCTATTGAGTCAGAGCGAACCATGCACACCGCTAGATCGATAAGTCGACGGTCTCTGATCGCTATCTCGTTATTCCATTTGTAAGTTCATATATCACACATATATCAATAATAGGAGTGGGGAGGACTAACCGATTAACCTATTTTAGTTGGTTAACGGGTAAAATTTATTTTAACCTTTAACTGACATCTCAGGTAATAATCACCTTTATGCTGTACAATTTCTTCAAAAAGGATTAGTTCGTCACAAATTTATCTCCATGTAATTTACCGCAATTCAAAAGTATATCACTACCTCAAATGGTAAGCATCGGGAAAATGTAAAAAATATTCAAAGTGCTAGTATTGCTGATTATGAAAATGACTAGTTTAGAATCAGCTTCCGGTCGGAATATATTGTTCATGATTTTATAGCAAGAGCGTTTATTCAATGTCATTTAACAGGTGCGCATGCTGTCGCAGGAATTTTAGCATATCGACAATTTCAGGAAGTAGGGATGAACGATTTGAATTCCCATTTTTTTCTGTCGTACTGAATACACATTCTGATGGTACACAAGTAGCATGTACACACATATATTTTGAGCCATTTGACTTTCCACCACACCAGTGGGTCAGAATTTATCTTTCCTACTAGTTCACGCAAAAAAGGCATTTTCGCAATCACGCATTTTTGCTTATCGATTTTTCATATAAATCTAAACAATTGATTGCAGCACCTGGGTAAATCAAAACAAATGGCTGAGTAATCCCATACCCGACATAAACTTGCAACGGAACCACAGTTCGTCGTTCGCCATATGAAAAAGCCGTCTTATCAACTTTTTGCTCTCCCGGGATAAATATGTGATAACTGTGTGCTATACGACTCTGTATAAAAAGCCGATGCTACATACAAATCTGCCATATTTTGAAAGAACAGAAATCTTTCAAGTTGGACATTGCGTACTCTGCAACTTATTACATCCTGTTGTAGGTGAGGTGGATGGAATTATTTGAACGCACGATTCTTCACCTGCGATGCCATCACAGTAGATACAAATCCATAAACACTACGCCAAGCCTACTCTGGCGGACGCAAACCGAAATCGGACCTTTCGCGTATTCAATTTTGACCGCGCTTCATTTTTTATTTTATTGATTGTGGTACCGACTGTGTATTGCAGGGTTACTCAACTGGCGGTCCGCGGTCCGGACGTTTCGAGTATTTGATTCGGACCGCACCTAATTCTTTATTTTGGATCATAATCCCCACTTTTGAAGTTTCCTTTCATAAAATGACTTTTATAGGTTTTGAATATATATATATGAAAACAACTATAACATCATATTAAACAATTTTGATTAGCTAATAATCATTAGCCGGTCGAGGAAGTGCGCGTTTAAGGATGCCGAAATATAATTTCTGGAAAGCCGGACCCAAATAATTTTGAAGTTTGTATGCTGATCTTCGGTAAAATAGTTGAGTAGCTCTGATGTATAGTGACAGATTGAATACCCGTATTACTTCGTTTTGGCCTCCGTGTCAATATATTTGAGCATCGCTCTCTTGTTTTTAGAGGTTATTACTTATCGATCTTAAGATCGGTGGGTATGTTGATAGGTATTTGTTTGTCTGTCTGTTAGATGGACGCGATATCTCACGAAGTGGAGGTTGAATCTGCTCCAAATTTTTTATGTGCATTCATCATATCTCGGACCAGAAGCCTATGAATTTTGAATGAATTATGTCGTATAATTAGCGAGTTATAAATTAATTAGTGATGGGACATGCGGTGTTAGTATAGATAGTATAGAGTCATGAATCGAAAACACAGTTTCGATCGATAAGTCTTCGGTCTCCGACCGATATTCTCGTTTCATTATTTGGTCATATTTGCACCTATCTTTTTAAGAATAGAACTCTAGCGCCGTAATAAACAATGTGAATAGCGCTGTCTTGATTAGCGAATAATCACCAGGCGAGAAACTACAACGCGCGTAAAGAATGTACAGATTTTGGCGGTTACTCAATTATCTACAAATCGCTTTTCTATTAAATCGCTAATCTAAAAGTTAGAGGCACTAAAACATATTTGGGTTCACTTTAAAATATATTTTCTAGAAATACCAGCCCCCAGTAATTTTGAATATGAGTAGCCCTCACATGGCCATAGTACCCAACTGAATAAAATAGTAGAAATGTTCCGAACATTAGATTACTAAAAGATATTCTTCAAGCTATTCACTGAAATAAATTCCTTTTAGTTATAAAAAATTTTAATAATCAGTGCGTATAATTATTAAACAACTTATACGTAGATTTTATTGCCGAAGGTGTTTATGGTAACATAATTCGCTCAAAAGTCAGACGAGGATCAGGCTAGCGAGTAGTTTAGCATAATTTTTGTACCATTGTACTGGCGGATACCAAAAATGCGTTCTAAATATTTTAGTCTTTTCATCGTATAGTATTATCTTAAATTTCATCTCCTTAGTCATAGACAAACCTGACATACGTATAAATTTCTGGCCTAAACAACAAATGAAAATCTAATGTTTAATAAGATTTCTCTTGATATGTCATTTCGTCCAATATAGATAATATTTTATACATATTCAGTTTTGTAATCCCTCAACATTGCTGGTTGGTATACCTCGTTTCACTGCTTTGTCATTTACTTCATGCATATGACACAAATATTTGAATATTCCGACGCCCGATGTGGATTCTTATCTGTGATAAATAAGAATAATCCAGTAACAATAAGCTATGACACCTATATGCGACATAAAGCAATTAGTTCGTCAAAAATAAATATAAAATCTAATGAAGTGCTGTACAAAAGCCATGTTGTTTTTGCGTTTTATCGAACCACGTCTTATCGAAGCGGATTGCGCGGCGCCCAGTACATGGCCCACTGTGTGGTGGTAGGTGCTCTGAGTCCTGCCCTGTGGATGGGTTATATGAGTCAAGACTATGATTCGACTTCACCCAATCCAACATTTTGATCGACCCCAAAATGGTATCCGCATTAACCAAACTGTATTTATATTTAGCCTCCGGCATGGCATTATTACACTATTTTTTCTGCTTTGATTGTTCTGTAAATCATGCTCTGCCAGTTTGCAGCATTCGTATTCTCGTCTGCCGTTCCTGCTGGATAAAGGATTGGCAGTTCACATCTGCATAAATGGATATCAGATACTGCGTGCTATTGACATGTGTTTTAGCTGTCATAGATCATAGTAGATCAGGATTGGCCGAAATACCAGGTACTCACTAACAACGTTAGAAATAATCACAGACTAATATAAAAGGCAGCGTATATTGAATAGTTTTTTGTTGTGGAATGAAGTTAAATCATTCATATGAAAATACAATTTATCAAAGTATCATCGTTTTGAAATCTTTAAAATCTCATAAATATATATTGTTTTATTGACATTATTGTCAGCGCGTGGATGCATTACATCAAAAAGTCTGTACTTTCTACAATAAATGATTGAAGTTCTGTGTTCTATTTTCGCAAAATATGCATATTTTATCTATGTATATCTATCTTTTAACTATTTTATAATTTTATACTTTAGAACCTTGCGTAAACTCAAAATGTTCCGGAGGCAAAGTCTGCTTTAAACCATATGGCGGAGTAGATTCGATTTGCTTATGCCCAATAGGATTCACCGGGGACAATTGTATGACACGTGTGTATTTAATTTTATTTTCGTATGACAAGTAGTGCAACAATGTTATTCAACTTATTTTGTGCATTACAATGCAAGTGCGTGACATAGTGCATCGCAAGAGTACGATAATTATATTTCATAGTAATTACTTGGTAAAGAACGATGTAAGGGTAATGAAAACGGAGAAAAGTTGTATTTTATATTATATTTTACCATAAAATAATGTACGATCATTCAAAAATAGCCTGTCATGTTAAATTCTTTACCGCATCGTTTCTTTTTGTTCTGGCTGACAATGTAAAATTTACATTACATGGTGCTACAAGAGATTACGCTCTAAATTCACGGGATAGCAGAGGCTACAAATTAAAGAGTCTCTTTGCATGTTGTGTTATTTAAAAGGCAGGCTCATATATTGTTACTAAAGTATTATTATATTCACTGTGAAAATCTATTCGACAGTGAATTGTTTACTTGCCTTTATTGTGTGACATCCATTTCATAAGATTTTGACTTCGAAATCCACTATTTCAACAAAAATCTACTTGACAAATTATTCATTTTCTCCATGTGCTAAAATTTATTTATTTCATCTTCGAAATCTTAACAATTTAATCTACTGCGGCTCAGCATTTCTATGTAGTCAACTGTTTTATAGGAGAATTCGGAATGCCTGATAGTTGTTCTTTTCCGACAAATGCCGTAGACTATTGTGAGGCAAAAGGTGAATGTGGGATTGCTGGAGGGACATGTGGTAAAGGAAAAGTGTGTTGCGCCGAATCAGATGCTTGCACGTTCACTTGCATAACCCCAGGTAAACTTTCGTAATCGGGTGGTCTTCACCTAAATTATATTAATAAACTTCACCAATTTACTTTATAACACACATTGTACCTTGAACTTGGTATTTGTCGTTTTCAATCGAGTTCGAGATGAATTTTTTATTTAAATCGTTAAATACTTTTAATAATTCCCCGCCTGATTTATATCAATTGATGCAATTGATACGTACCATTAAATCAATATCGTTTTATTTTTATCAGTACATCAGTACTATTTATTTAAGATAAACGTTGGATTTAAACAATATCAGTGAAATAGTTGGAGTATTTCAGTTTCGCCATGATGAGGGATATTTTAAAAAAGTGGAGTATCGACTTTGGCCCTTTCCTGCTTTTTGTAATGGCAAGAAATGTATTAATGCTTCTATAATTTAATTGGTTCCCATCGTTTTTATACAGCAGAATGCCGTCATTATCGGTTTTTATCTAATTTCTTCTCATACGTAATGCATCACCTACTAAATTGGAAACACCAAATAACCGCTTCAAGGCATTTTATAGGTCGCACAGTGCTTATAGTACCACACAACAAACTGTCGTTTTCAATTTGTATTTCTTTGACGCAACCTGAGATTATTTCACCATATTTTGTCCAACCCGGTAACTTTGATTCATTCTTCTAACATAAATGTAAATCATGCATTAATTAGTGATAAGAGGAGAACTGCCGTTACAATAACACAATATACAAAAGTTTGTCAACAATAACATTAAAATAGTACCCGATTTATGGCGTTTCATGATCTCCGGGCCTAAAAAACGAAAAGTTTTTTTGTTTCTGCATGGTATATTGTCGTTAAAGTGTTTTTGAATATATATATATATATATATTCTTTTATGCATAAAATGTTTTTAAAAACGAAAGCGTACTTTTAGTGTAGTTTTATTTGATTTGTGCAAGTTCGTTATCGTATATAGATATAACCATGTATATTCGTGTGTATTCGAGATGTATAAGATTGCAAAATTTAATAAAATTAAATAAACAAATAAATAAGCTCGGAGTTGTTTGGCTTAGCGATATAGTAATTTATTAGTCAAATACTCTAATCAAACGCTGCAATATTTGCTATTAAGTTGTAAGAAACGTTAAACATAGCTGACAAAAAATATTATATTTGTCCAAGCTTGCATTTTCTGGCACAAGTTCTCTATTCATATGTCATAATGTAGATATTGATTTGTTGATAACATTTGAAGGAATGTTACGCGGCATCTTTTGGGAAACTTTATTTGTATACCTTCAGATTTGTTTATAAACGCCCCAAGCAGAAATATCAGTCCTTCTTGCGGGCGGCTCGTACCCTTTCTGCATATTCTAACAAATAGAGCTCACTCAATCGTTCATGCACATTGTAACCTTTTTTATACGATATTTATAGGGATTGAACCAACCCGAGACGGGTAATCTGCAATGTCAACATAGTTAAGCGTGAGGCCCCAACCGGGTAAATTGAAAAAAACTCATCTTCTATTCAACTTCACCGTTACCAAAAATTTGAAAAAGGCGCCTGTAAAAGGATCGGGGCGAAGCAAAGGTCCTTCTTACACTATAATTTATATATATCGGTATATTTGTCACAAGCTGAATTGTAATATAAAATTTAATTATTAATAACCGCCAATTGCACAGTATTCTATAAAATATTTGAACGATTTTGTGATTTTGTCACAGTATAATTAGACATATAGGTTTGTGTACAGTAGAGTTGAATGATAGAATGGAAACGGATGGCGCGGGCCTCTTCCTCGGTAGAGTTACTTTGCGAGCCGTGCGTGTAGCAAAGTCATATGTTTGATATTTGGGTAAAATTATGTTCGTTTATAATTAAGTTTGGTGAAATTGATATTTTTTTTATAGAATTATGGTATGACCTATAGAATCGCGCAGCCCAATACAGTCGCAAAGGCGCTAGGTCGGCGCTGACGTGACATTACTCGTCACTGTAACTAAAAAATTTAATGCGCCAAAACACAAAGTAGATCGCACAACCGTTTTGGCCTTCAATTTAGATAATGTTCGTTGTTATACTTAATATTGTAAATATGTAAATATCGTATATCTGCTATTAGAATTTAACAAAACCATAATAATTCGGCAATATGTTTCCAATTTCAGGTTGCTCAAACCCATATGATCTAAAAAAGTGTACTGATGATAACAAAGTGTGCAATGACGATAATTCCCCTCGCGGATTTAGCTGCTATTGTCCTATGGGATTCTATGGTGACCAGTGTGAAAACCGTAAGTATGTGTTTTCACAATCTTTTTTGTTTTGTTACGATTTCATATTTAATGGGTAAAGAACCCCCAATAAAAAAGGGAGACCGATGACGGAAATTTCTATAAAATATCCAACTCAATAAAAGAATAATATAAACTAAGTTTGTATATATAAATCTTTTTCTATGGCAGAGAATGTTTTGAGTAAACAGTGCTTACCAATCTGGGCTCCACGGAAAAATGTTAGGGAGTCGATGAACTTTACATACGTAAAATACAAACAAAACATCGAAATGAAAGTCCCAGAAGCCCCCTCAACCAAATTTGTAAGGGGTCCGTACTTTGTGGCACTTGGAATTTTGGAAACCAGTTGTTTAGTAGAAGATAATTCGCCATTGGAATGCGTTAAAATGATAGTTCGATCTATCTACATATACATTTATTTAAACAATTTTAATTTTTTCAATTTCTAAACTACGATAATGAAGTTTTGTAATACCGTATTGCTTTCATTCTCATTTTTAATCTGTTGTGTTCTTATATTTTGTACGCCTTATGGATAAAATAATGGAAATTCAATTCAAAGGATTTCCTGGAATCGACGATAAATGCGATGTTCCTCAAATTGATATATGCGAAAGTTTTCAAAACCCAACTTGCGCGGACACTTCCTTTTGTGATGGTGACAAAATATGTTGCTCAACAGGATGTGGGACTAGATGCGTAGATCCTCCAAGTAAGAGTTTACTATGACCATCAATTATTTATTATAAGCGTGAGAGAAAATACTTCACCCAGCTGCTTGTTAACATCAAACAGTCTCTAGTCTAGGACATCTATCGCTGGGTGACATATGACACACAAGTTTGAAGCTTGTTCTGAGGCGGAAAATTGAAAAAATTTACGTTACGTACTAGCAGGGGCAAGACTTTTCTGCTGCCCGGGGCGAGTTTCTGATAATGATGCTCCTTATACCTAATTCAGAAAATAATTTAGGGCATAAACAAGCTATAGATTTTGTTATATACTTGAGAATGAATAAATTAAAGGTCAAGTAAGAGTGAACTGTTTGTATTATTATTTATTAAATTACCAAACTAAGCAACACAGTCCTTCTACAACGTGCTGCCCGGGGCCTTCCCCTAGACCCGGCCGTGAGTACAAAATTAGTCAACGTAATAGTTGCATATCCTGTTTATCAGTACAGTAATCGTTCATTATTCATGTATATTTCATATATTTTAGGCCAACCTCAACCAGAGCCACCCCCAGCCAAAGGAAGAGGCCAACTCGGCATAGATTCGTCTTTTATACAATTAATGCTGCTAACAAATTTAGCTAAACCACCTCCCCGAGCCAGACCCCGAACCGTTCCCCGAGCATGTCAACCTATTTGTGGTCGAATAACCTGTCCAAACAATGTTGGAGCGGTTTGTCAACCTATAAATAACGGATGTGATGGTTATTTCTACGATCAATACAACAAGCAAATAATAACCCAAATGTGTGAGTATTTACGATAAATATATGAGTTTAGGCTATATATATTCAATACAACTTGGCAGAAATGAAAAGTTTATTTACAAATAAGATCGTCAGTGCAGACGAGTCGAATTTTATAAAATACGACTTTGACTTAGAAAATCTGGAATTTACTCAGTCGTTTTAAAAAATGAACATGCATATTACGAGATTCAGTTTCTGAAATGAGAGAATCTGTAGTTACTGAGTTCGATATAAGAGAGAACCCCCTAATCAAAATTTTGCCATCACAAAACCACATTACCACTGGTTGTAATGTAATATTTAATCACGTGCGTAATTCTCCAAAGTCAATCCCAGCGAGATTAAAAAGTCAAATTTACTTCGCTCCAATCGAACTCACACTAATTTCTAAGGACAATATATTTATGTTGTCTGGAATCAAATAGTTTACAATTAAAATGTACAATCAGTTAAGTTACAACTGAAACGAAGTAGCTATTTACTGTGTATGTTATTACAGGTCCATGCCCCCCCAATGCCCAAGAACATCCAAACTGCGGCCCTGAATGGTGTTTTCAAAACGGAAAACCACTTACGTGCACTGCATTTCCTGATGCCCATTGTCGCATATCAAAATGTAATGGATGTTACAGATACTGGACAGATAGTAAAGGGAAACATGTCAATTGTGGCTGATAGCTTTATCTTGTATTTAATTTTTTATTATCTTTGTAACAATTAACATTTTTCTAGTTTGCATAAACTTGACAATCAGTATTTAATTAGGTAACAGTCATTGTAAAATTAAATTTGTTGAATCTGTGTAATAAATATGAAGTATGGTTTCGAGGACAGGAGTTGCTACATAAGCCACTCAAGGTGTAGCCTAACACTTGGTGTTTAATCAAAAATAAAAAATAAATACTGGATATGCATGCTATTGGCCTTAAACTACATTCGGTAATAGCCGAGGGAAGCCGTTGACATATCATCAAGCAACCTCTTTTTTTCTCATATTTCTCGGAAAGTTAGTATTTATCAATCTTCGTTAACACGCGATTGCGATCGCAAACAAATGATGCCAAATTTCCAAATCGTTAGAAGTGCAGTACGTTCTTGCTAGTGGGCAGTTTCGGAAGTTACCATGAGGCAAAGTAGACTGAAGCGTAAGGCTATTATTCATTACTGAGGCGTTTTTAAATTATGAGTAAAAGTTCCGCTTTAAAATTTGATAAAACTGATGTATGTTCAAGTTTTTATTCAGGTTAATATTGCCCCAAATATTAAACCGTTCTAAAAGGTTAAAAAATTAAATACGGTCGAAATTTTTATAAATTTGAAACGCCCCCAACCTACCCCTTGACCTTAAAAACAAAAACAAAAAACTGTTTTTACCATTAAAAAAGAAAAAAATTGACATACACCTGTACTAATTTATCTATAAGCAACAACAAATCTAAGATTTATATCATATTTTGCTCTCTCGAATTTTTATATCAATCCTATTGTATCAAAAAAAAAATGGAATGTTATATTATATATCAGTAATTGGGCTACGCCCTCACCTCCTTGCACTAGAAATGTTTGTTATTACGTGGGGTTTTCTGGTGACATGACGTTTTATTACAGCCTTAGTTTTTTAATTTAATTTGCTACCCATTTGACTTGGGTGAATAGCGTACATATCTGGTCTTCAACTAAAATTTCATATACCGCGCATATTTGAAAGTCAATTTATGACGTTATAATATCCCCACAAATTTTTCGATACATATTATGACATCATTTAGATTTATTCCATGATGTCATTGTTAAGAGGGGGCTTCACAAGCGGCCTGGCCTAGGGGCATTACATTGTCTACATCCGGCCCTTCTGGTGGGTCGAAAATATTGAGGCAATCATCGAGTTTAGTGGATTAGAATCTTTTTGGCATTTTATTTGCATTTTTTATATTTTATCAAATATACGCAGAAATTGTCCACCCAACCTACACTACCTCAGAGCGGTGAATACGAGGCGCGTTCCTTGTTAAGTACGAGTGTGTGAATGAGCACCGACAGACTTTACATTTATAGTACAGTTGCAACCAATGTTTCTATGAGCCAGCGTAGTGTATGCATTCGCCTAGCATAATACAACTTGGATTACAATCTATCTATGACAAGATAAAAATTATTGCCGATTTCTATTTAAAGCGGGAACCGTGCTAAAAATTGTCGTTTCCAATGTGTCCCACATTTGACGCAAGTGTCGTACTTGTCGAAAGTGAGACATATATATTAAAAAGTAATACAAGCATGGAACAGGTGGTTCAAGTGATACAAGTGTGTTGACGGGACACGTCATTTTAGGGCACCCAAGAGAGAATACCTATAGCTGTGATTAGTACAACTGCACTCATGATTGGAGTATCAAAATTAGTTGAATGACAGGAATGATATGAATTATTCGATTCTAGGTTATGCGGTTGAATAACTGAAATTCACAGAAACTAATACAATGAAGTTTTTCAGCTTATGTTCAAAATTGTTATCCCAAGCTTTTTGTGGGAATGTAACTCATCACCGTAATTCTCGACAAAATCATTTTACATATATATTATAAGATTTTAAAATGGTGTTATTATGACCAATCGGGTATGCACAATTAGGGGACTCTATTCGGCTCACTAATAACAGAACGGCTAATGGTAAACATTTAAAATAAAAGTCAAGGATCGCTAATGAGGGTTGTTTGAAATTGGTGGCTGATTAAGTAATATACATATACTCAGGGGCGTGTCTAAAGGGGGGGGGTCCATAGGGGCAGCTCTTCATAGTTTTTTATTTCTTAGTTTGATGAGGTAAATAAAAATACTACGAACATTGCACTCTTACTTGTTTATTCTCATTTATACCAACATCTATAATTCGTTTATCTCCCGAATTATTTTCGAAGTTAGGTATATGGGGCATCATTATCAGAAACTCGCCCCGGCAGAAGAAAAGTTGGACACGACCCTGCCTATACTGGGCAATGTTTTAATTTAAACTGTTTAAATAGAATTTTATCACAATGAAATTCTCTAAAAACAGCTGGATACAACATGAATAAACTGAACTGCAGTGCACATGGGGAAGAAAAAATTTGGGATTGTTATGAACTGTAATAAATAGCTTTGTATGTGCACCTGACGTGGGGCTTTAATTTTCGTGTCACAAAAGCAACAGTGGAAACAATAAGCCTCGTGCCAAAATTAAATTTAACGCAATCTCGACAAATTCATTCAGGTAAATTTAGCTGAAACATCAAAATTTGGTTTCAGATTGGTTGCGGCAGAATCAGGCGGGCCAGATTGAATTACACAACGGGCTGGATTTGTCCCGCGGGTCGTATTTTGCCCATGTCTGGTATATATGCACAGGGAAAATTTATTTAAATATATATATACGAGTATGTATAAGCCCTCAAAAACTACGGCTTGTAGTTCGAATATATATATATTGTATTGTGCTCGAGGTAACTTTATACGAGTGTGTTGCTATATTTTTAAATATATATACATTTTATTTTCCGCCGAAAATATGTGGTTTCAGCTAGCTTACCTTATAGTTATTATAGCGGACTTTGTTCCTCAGGGCTCTCATCCCCACAGCGGTGAGCAGAATCGAAGAACATCGGACATTGGGAATGATTTGAATTATCATATCATCTACCAATCTTTTTTCGAGACGAAATCGTGATGAAATTACTCGTACAATATTAAAACATTCCAAACTTTCGTCATAACTGTGAAACATGAGATATGGTCTAGTTCGTGGCACAGAAAAATTACGATGCGATCCAAATGAAGCGTATGTAAAGAATGGAAATAATTGAAAAAAATAGCACATATATATATATATATATGAAAATCACGTTTTGTAACAATCTCACCAGGTTTCTGTTACGTTCAGCGTCGCGGATGTTTAGAAGCGTTTCAATGTCTCCCGGCAAAAATACCGTTACTAAAACAATAGAGATTTTGTCTTTGTTTCCTTTCTTAGTCTGTTCATAAAAGAAATCGAATCACACAAAACAAAGGATGGCACCTCCGAATCACGGCAGTGCGCTAACAAAGTCACACGCCTTACTTCAAGTCACAACTTAAATTGCAGCCAATACAACTGTCAATACTCATAATTGTTTAAATAAGTATACACGATAAAAGTTTTGAGATGAGTTTGACTAGGCATATAGATATATATATAAACGCGCAACACCGTTTTGGGAAAAGGGAATGAATGATAAAGTTCAGCATGGTTACCTTTCATAACCATTGTGCGGTTGACGCGTTCGTTCGATAAAGTATGCCTAACTTACTAAATCAAAAGATTTGATTGCTTTTCTCAAATGCAGTCGAACGATAATAACTAAGACAAAAACAACAACAAAAATACCCAAACGATCCATAGGTCCACTACGTGTCCAATAATCAGATATCCCCGAACAGATCCATTTGAGACTACTGCGGTCATTATTTAGACAATAACGTATTAGTTAGGGTATCTCTACCTGATTTCAACGATATCTTAAACAACTCCCCATAAATCGCATCATATTTGTTCGGCAGTATTCGACTACAGCAAGGGCCCCCAAGTCAATTCCGAGGTTATCGCTTTAATCAGGTTCAAAACCCAACCAGCTGATAGATCTTGTAAAGCAAATGTTACATACCGAACCGATGATCTTGCATCCCAGGAGATTTGGCGCGCGTCAATTGCGGGGATCAGAAAAGCCAACGATCACGAGCTTGTTCTTCAATACGGAAGAAACACAATTGGCTAAATATTTCGCAGAAATCGCACCCATAACAAAATCCAAGCTTTCGATGGCAACAACTCAATTTAACTGACGCAATTACTATTTACTCTCATGAGAACCACGATGGAGAGAACTCGAACAGATGAACCCGCTTTTCTCTGTCACTCAAATATGGGCAATAAACATGTAAAGTGTATTTCTAATTTATTGTATTGTGCGTCTTCAGAAAAAGATAATATACGGAACACGGGCATCAGTAATATGAAAGCGGTACAAATTGCTAATTTTGATAACATATTCGCGATACGGACAATGTTCAACAAGTATGTATATGTCGGTTTAGAACGGTTCATATATACTTTATAAAATTATAACCCAAAAAATGTGAATCGAATTTACAGAAAAAGCAACACCTTGTTTTGAGAGGTAACCAAGTATCAATAATTCATTACATAGGATTCTCAAATAGCTTTGTGGCATGAATGTCTGGTTCATGGCGAATGATAAATCAAATTTCCCATAATCAGTACCGCAATGTAATTTCAGTAAGCTAGTTTTAAAAAATTAGCTGAAAACTTACTATATAGATATAACACAATGGTGGTGCATAAGATGGCGTACTAGTAGAGCAATCACAAAAGAGATTTTTAATAACAATAATAAGAGCAATTACCAATATTTAAAACAATATGTCCAAAATAAAAGTGCAGCTCAATCTGCTACAATACGATTGTAGCCGCAAAGTACCTGTAAAGATAGATATTCAATTCAAAATGAAAATAGATGAAAGAGCAAAGGAGGGGATAGATAGGACAAAGTTGAAACCACTTTATTCATACTTGGAGTAGAAGATTTTCATTAAAAATGTAAAAATAAAACAAACATAGATCCTAAAAAGTAGATATTAAATTTTTAACTACGGCATAAAACAGACTTATGTAAAAATTTATCCTACAATCTTAGGTAAAACTGTGCGGTTAGATGTATCAACCTCTTTGGCTGTAATAATTGGCTTGTTGGATGAACCTTGCCTGTGTTGCAAGTGATGTGCTGGGTGGTGGACGGAGGTAGTTTTGCTCACAAGTGCTTGTGCAGTGCTGTTTTGCACACCCCGGACTGCAGTCGGGGGTTTTGGCAATCTCCTTCGCAACC